ACCAAGTACGAATGTTAGGAACCACACCTTTCTGAATCATATATTCCAACAGTAGTTGTCTAGCCTTCTTAACCAATCCAGCCTTACAAAGACCATCAATTATAGCATTATAAGTAACAACATTTGGCCTACAAATAACACCAAATTCTTTATTCCCATTAGCCATCTCTTCATGAAACTTAATGGCAACACTTATTTTCCCTGTTTTACACAATCCACCAATCAAAGTGTTGCAAGTGATCACATCAACCCTACAACCAATAGCAATCATTTTCTTAAACAATTCCATTGATTCCATAATCTCTCTCTCTGCACACAGACCTTTAATCAAACAAGTAAATGTCACGGTATTTGGGCTAAAACCCAACTTCAAAATCGCCCCAAAAACCGCATAACCATCAGAAACCCTTTTGATATTACAGAAGCAATTCATCAACAAATTCAAAGATATAAAATCTGGAGACAACCCAGTTGAATTCAACAGCTTATATAGCGAAATCACTTCATAATAATGCTTCTTCTTAGCTAGTGCACTAAACAGAGTAGTGAATGATGAAATTGGAGAAATGGGTTTCGAATTAATCATGTAATAAAAAAAGTACAATGCTTCATTCAGAGTAAAGCTACCTGATCGACAATTTTCTTCGAGGAATTTAGCAAGTGAGGATCGTTCAAGGGGTTTTTTGAAAGAATACGAAACTTCATTTTTGGAGCTTGAAGATATGAGGTTGTGTAAATAAGCTAACAAAAATAAAACATTAACTTTCGAAGATGGGTTTTGAGAGATTGAAGACGAATGAAATGGGGATCTGAATCTCAAAGCCATGTATGAATTGAAGAGTGTTTTTATGGGTCATTTTTTCCGAAGTAAGGTCATTGCAAAAGGCAAATGCATTAAAGAGAAATTTTTTGACAAATTTCACAAACAACCTTTAAGGTTTTCAAAATTGCAAACTTATGTCAAGTATCGATCTTTCCTATTCAAACCACCTTTATGATTTCGAAAATTGCAAGTTAAAAATGTAAATCCACATTCAGGTTTTTTTCGGTTTGAGGTGGTTTTCTACTAAATCCAAAATTATCCAGTTGATCAAACAAACCAATTTATATAAGTATTCAATTTTACCTTTTTTTTTAATAAAATTATAAGATTTAAATAAATCATGCTATTGAACTTTGTATTTAATTTACAATGATATATAAATTTTTTCTTTTTTCTATTTGTTCATCAAACTTTTAAATATACCAAAATCGATATTATTTACTAAAGTATAAAACATTTCCACTTCTTCTGAAACACATCCATTATTGCAAAGTCTATCAATGACAATGCAAGTTAACAAATTGTCATTTATAATCACATTAGGCCTAATTCCTTCTAAAATCTTCTCTTGATAAAGATTAAGAACTTCGTTGACTTCTTTATTCTTGCAACACCATCTAATTAAAGAATTGTAGCAAACAACATTAGGTCCATATCCCTTTCTAGTTAAAACTTCTTCATTTATAAGATCAGTTTTTATGTTGTTTATTAGAAACTATTATTAGAGGTGCGCCATGAGGCAGCGAAGTCGGATTTGAAGCTCATTAGAGACTATACTTCCAATAATAGATGGAGTCAATTAGAAGAGAGAAAAAATTTATAGCTATAAGACTTTTCTATTCTAATTTTTCAATGCATCATATTCTGCGAGAGAATTAATGAAATATGAGATAGAATCTTGAACTTTTCTCTCAATGTTTTGATATGCTAATTCTTTCAATTAATTTCTCTTATTCAATGGTAGTTGATGGATCATTATGTATTTATTTAACATTCATTTGTTTTTTATTGATTAAATTTTCTATCTTCTCCTCTTTGTTTTTATGTTAATCCTATGAACCATAGATTTTATGAGATAATTTTAATAATGTTTAATCATGATACTCATAGAAGCCAAGTTAATTTCAAGGGAATCCATGAATTTTAATGTTAAACATTTATAATCAATGTTTGCTTATTGATTAAAATTTTTTTACGTCAATCGAGAACATAACTACTTTCATAACTTCAATAATGCTTAATCAAAATGATTACTATTAATTTAATCTCCTTTATAAAAATATTATTCAAGTGCAAAACATTTAACTTTAAACATGCATAAACTTATGTTAAAAGTAAGAAAGACCACAAGAAATTCTGTTGTGTGTGATTTTTGTCGTAAGCTCGAAAGTCTCGATAGCCCGGAAATCAGTAGATCGATGCGATCTCAAGGTCATGGAGTCTTGAAGTCTGACTCAGCATAACCTCATCGCTACCATCTAATACAGTTTTTCGACAGACTGAGGGATAAGCCTTATCTCGAACATCTTAGGAGGGATAAAAACGAATCAATATTTGCAGGATCCTAGCGCGCAATCACTAAAATCACGAAATCGCTTGCCAAGTCTGATGGCAATCTCGGATTTCTCTCTAATTCCTTTGGTGTAAACCTGTGTAAATACCTCTTCCAAATATGAGAAAGGGGTTAGCAAAGTCCAAATATGAGACTCATGGGCGCGAAGTTAGAACACAAGCTGATTCCAGGAGGCGACATGGGAAAGAGCCCATGGGGGAACAAGTTAATAATGGTCGCCAGGGGGAATCTCGCACTTAGTGACTTAGTACATAAAAGAAACAAAAAATGAAACATAATTCATAGATCACTTAAGCCCTCTCAAGTACTCGCTTAAAATTAAGAAAGAATATCATATAAATACCATGGAATAACATTTAATCCCATTCATGGAGATTATGTAAATATTCCATTCCGAAAATAGAAAGTGAAACAATTAGATCTTTTTTGAAGATTAGTACAAATTCATGATCTAACATGTACAAAGTGAAAACCCCATTCTCGATTCTACGAGAAATTTTATGATAGCATCCAATAGAATCATGAAGAGTCTAAGTGAAACAAACATAATCATATGAGATATGGATATTCATTCAAAATAGACAATAAAAATGAATATATGTGTGCGGAAATTTTAATCGGGCGAGCATACAGATGATGTTCTTCATATTCTTCCTCAGACATTTTCCAGACCAAAGACATTTTTTCACATTTTCCATAAGCATGAGATGCAAGGCCATTGTTGTTTCAGTACACGAACTCAATAGTGCTCTAGTGGTCCATCTTTCTGCATTAGGATTTTCATCTATGACAAATAGTAAAATGGATTCTCCGCTAGAATAGAATCAATAGGTACAGAAAGCAAAGAACCTAACAGTTGCACTGTGAGTAATCAATGTTATTTTAGACCAAGAGTAGACCACTAACCCATAATAGTTTTCATGATCTTGTTGGATCCTATACCGTTGGTCATTTGTCACATAAAAAGGAACTTGATCGCCATCTAATTGACTAAAATTTCTCTAAATCTTGGGGTAAGGTATTGAGGCTATCCTCATCACAAATTGGATGAAATAAGTGTTCCACAGGAAACATATTAGAACTTTACCCTTTTTGAATAAAATGGGCATGAACTTGACATATCTAGAAGAAAATTTACAAGAAGGGTACTGATATATATTTTTCGTCCTCAAACAGGTATCGTTTATCATAATTGTATTTACATAAACATATTAAGGCAAAACCTTATGTTTTTTATAAGAAAGAGAAGTTTGTCAATTACTGTGCTATTCTAGTTAACATGTAACCTCAGAAACAAACCTCACTTCTTAATGATCATTTCTCTGAACTCATTGTTTGACTTTGACTTCCCATCTTCCACTTTCCCGGCTTTTGAATTTGTCGAGGGGACACCAAGTGGTCTGACGTTCCTTGGCATTGCAAATGTGTTCGTCCCCTTCAGCTGAATGTTATCACTATGTTTATTAGCAGTAGAGTGTGGCGTTCTAGACTCCCTGAAAGTCTGATTACTACTTTGCGCCGCCATTTAACCCAAAGGAGTAAGAAAATGAAATGTAGAAGTAATAACAAACATCTATAGATTGCATTGGACACAAACACACACACACAAGTAATAACAAAGATAAAACATAATTCTACTTATCCTACCATGTTCTCCAAAGGCCCCATGACCAGCAAAATCCTTTCTCTTTTGCTTTGGATTTGATCTTGCAATGCTTATCTTCTTCCCAAGAAACATTTGTTTGTTCTTTCCTACAGCTGTAGCAAGGTGTGCATCATCGGCAAAATCCACATATGTCAGGCCCTTCAAAAATCAATTAGAGGATATTATAAATTAGTATGCAACGGTCCCAGACAGATGCTTTACAGTTAAAGGCAAGCTGGAATATGGGTAAATCTGTATGGGACTATGGTTGAGTCTCCTAAGCATCTCACTTGCTATCAAAATGAAAAAAAAATATGCCCTTAGATAGTTAGACTTTTTATACTTAGAAAATTCAGCAATTTTACCATAATTATGGAATTCAACCCTTCTACAGGTTTATTTGAGACTGCATAGTCGTCTTTAGAAAGGATATTCATCTTAAAACCAAAAGCGTAAGAACTAAATGATTTATTGATTGCATGAAAGGAAGAAATCAAATTGAAGTTTCAGTGAGCATGTTAGTAAACGGTCCCGTATACGCAGCGGAAACAAAAATATAATGTAACAGGATCGTTTACATGAGCCAAGATCAAGGGTATGATTTTACAATTTATATTAAATTAAAATCTGCATAAATATTCAACATGAGTTAAGNCTGAATGTTATCACTATGTTTATTAGCAGCAGAGTGTGGTGCTCTAGACTGCCTGAAAGTCTGATTACTACTTTGCGCTGCCATTTAACCCAGAGGAGTAAGAAAATGAAATGTAAAAGTAATAACTAACGTCTATAGACTGCATTGGACACAAACAAACACACACAAGTAATAACAAAGATAAAACATAATTCCACTTAGCCTACCATGTTCTCCAGAGGCCTCATGACTAGCAAAATCCTTTCTCTTTTGTTTCAGATTTGATCTTGCAATGCTTATCTTCTTCCCACGAAACATTTGTTTATTCTTTCCTACAACTGCAACAAGGTGTGCATCATTGGCAAAATCCACATATGCCAGGCCCTTCAAAAATTGATCAGAGGATATTATAAATTAGTATGCAACGATCCCAGATAGATGCTCTACAGTTAAAGGCAAGTTGGAATATGGGTAAATCTGTATGAGACTATGGTTGAGTCTCCTAAGCATACCACTTGCTATCAAAATGAAAAAAATATGCTCTTAGACAATTAGACTCTTTATACATAGAAAATTAAGCAATTTTACCATACTTATGGAATTCAACCCTTCTGCAGGTTTATTTGAGACTGCGTAATCATTTTTGCAAAGGACATTCATCTTAAAACCAAAAGCGTAAGAACTAAATGATTGATTGACAGCATGAAAGGGAGAAATCAAATTGAAGTTTCAGTGAGCACCCTTGAGAAATTTGATAAAAAAGAATACACTACATTTAGCAGTTTCAATCTCCTTAAAGCATCAGCCATGCTGATCTCCCAGTCTCATTAAAATTAGTTTCTTAGGGCTAATTTCTATGGTACAGTCCACATTATGCATACATATATTGAAGTTTAAAGGTCAAGCAATGCTAAATAAGGATTTGACTGTAATACTGATGTGCACCTGGAAGGTCCAGTGGATAGCTTCCCCTTTTTCATTTGAAGTATAAAGCACAAAGAACATTGACAAATAATGAATCATAGAAGAAGAGTCATACCCTTGACTTTCTGGTGAACTTGTCCTACAGCATTCGAACAGATTCAACCCCACCAACATCGCTAAACAATTTTTTCAGATCTTCAGAAGTTGCCTGAAAAAAATTTAAAACCATCAGAATTATCTCTCTGTATTTGCCTATCCAGCATAAAAAAGAATAAAAAGCAATCTTTCTCTGAAGTGCGAGAGAATCTCTTCTTGCCTTGAAGTTAAGGTTGATAAAAATGCAGTACACTTGTCAGTGTATCCTTTGGCTCTTCCAGTGTGGAGTCTTTGATGTGCTAGTCATTTGGATGCTCTTCAAACTTGGGTTTTGCTTCTACTTCATTTTCTTCAGCTAAGTTTTGTGCTCGTCCCTTTTCTTTCCCATGCACTTTGTTTGGGTTTTGGGCAGTATTTTTCTGCCGCTTAGCTGGAGACTTTTCGTCAGTCATGTTCGAATTTGTTTTTCTCTTTCCATTAACACTTTTCTTATGTGACTTCTCTTTCTGATCTATTAGTTCAGGAACAGATTTGGCTTCCTGTTGTAACCTAAATAATTGCAGCTCTTCCAAGCGGGGTGTAGCCTGAGAAAGGGAACAAAGACAAGCATCTTTACGCATTGAGTTAAAATAGCAAGGATTGCATACATTCAATAACTACTAAGCAGATGTATCATAATTCAGAGACATCTTTAACAATGTTACGTAACAACTTGACTTAAAAGCTTAAATTGATAGTTAAGCATCCAACAACCATACTTAAAATTTAACACAATCTCATGCGCTGAACACCCACAATCACAACCATAAATATAACATAAATACAAATACAAATTTATAATCTAAATAAGACCTTATTTGATATAAATTTTGAATAGTGTTTTATTTTCGAAAACAAGGACTCTAAGGAATTTTATGAAAATACGTTTTTATTAAAATAAGTTGAAATGTTTTCAAAACAATGTTTTTGCATATAATCCTAAAAATTAGTGTAAAATTAGAAAATAAGAAAAATATCATTTCTCAGTCTTTATATAGTTTTTAACTTCAAAAACAATTTTTGATACCAAATATATTTTCAAATATTTAAAATAGTGAGATAAAACTTTTAAATTTTTTAATTGTAACTTAGTTTTTCAAAATTATTTTTGAATCATAAACCAAATTGGCCCAAATCTCATAGAGAGATTTAAACACAAGACTCTGTGGACCACCTTGCTATACTACTCTATTAAGTTATCACTTAAACTAAATATTTAAACAGGTTCACCAGAACATCGATCTTGCTATATATGCTGCCAAACAGATTCTAAATCTAGATCCCCAAGATGCAGGAACCTACGTACTGTTATCTAACATTTATGCAAATTTGCAAAGATGGGACAATGCAGCAGAAGTTAGGAAGACCATGAGAGACAGCGGAGTAAGGAAAGAACCAGGGTGCAGTTGGATTGAAGTAAATAAGCACATTCATGCTTTCATTTTTGGAGATCGCTCACATCCAAAGATAGTTGAAATCAATAGGGAGCTCAACCAGTTTATTTACAAATTTGTAGTAGTGGGATATGTGCCAGACACAAATTTTGTTTTGCACGATCTTGAAGGAGAGCAGAAAGAAGACTCAATTCGATACCACAGTGAAAAACTAGCAATTATTTTCGGTTTGATGAGCTTGTCGAGGGGTAAGACCATCAGGATCAGGAAAAACGTTAGGATATACGGGGACTATCATATCTTTGCAAAACTCACATCAAAGATAGAAGATCGAACTATAGTGATCAGAGACCCTATCCGGTATCATCATTTTCAAGATGGAATTTGCTCTTATGGAGATTATTGGTAGCAGATGTCAAAGAAATGTTTGAAACCTCACTGTTACTCTCTCAATGTTGAACAGGAACACAAAGCTTCTGCATTATTGAGATAGTCATGTAGATTCAAGCCATTTTGAAGCTTAAATCCAGAAAAAATAAATCGTAAGTATTACTTCTTAGTGATCATTTTACTTAAGAACGGTCAATGAGGTTGATGGACATGATCACTGCTCATAACAATCTGAATCTAAGTTGGTTGTGAGCCACCAAAGAAATTGATGGCATGACCAATATATCACATGTATTAAAGAAATGATAAATAATATGTAAGTCTTCCATGATGCTACCATTTTTGGGTCATCAGATGGATATTAAATGCAGATGAACACTATATGCAATTTCGAATGAGAAATGATATAAAAACTGTTGATGCAGTGATACCTTGCTAGAATCATCAAGTGTGCAATTCAGCAGGTTTGTGTTTGGAAAGCTACTGAAGATATCCTACAACAGTGGTTCAACGTGTGTGGCAGTGTTTTTGTAATGAATTGTTGTTAAATGACTCAAGGATATTTAAGTTAGAATTATTATATGTAATGTGTTTGTAATATTAGTAGTTAAGTTTGAATTTAAAAACTGAAATTTCTGCTGTAGTTGTTGTATTAGCAGAGAGTGGTTAACTGTTATATATGTTGAATATTATCAATGAAAAAACAGAGAACTTTTTCTATCATTTTTCAGAGCTCTCTTTCATCTTTCTCTTTGTATTCTCTGGCTAAGAACCAACAAATGGTATCAGAGCCTCTTAACAAAACCAGAAACCTAGTATCTTAAACCATCGATTACAACTCAAGAGTACCCTCCTTCGTTCTCAATAAAACTTTGACCTGCATCAGTTCTTTCGACAGACACAAAAAATAGAGACATGGCAACTCAATCTGCCTTGATGGCTCCGCCAGTATTCAATGGGGAACACTACCATATTTAGGCTGTCAAAATGAAGGCTTTTCTCTGGGGACAAGGACTGTGGCAATACGTGCATGAAAACAGGCAGCCACCTCTTTTGGGACAGAATCCCACGTTGAATCAAATGAGGTTTCATGAGGAAGAAACAGACAAAGCACTTAGAGCTCTCTCTCACATTCATGCAGCTGTGACTGACCTTGTATTCACAAGGATCATGGCATATAAGACTCCAAAAGAAGCATGGGATAAGTTGAGAGAGGGATATATAGGCAGCACCACTACAAGGAATATGCAGGTGTTTAATCTAAGGAGAGAATTTGAGATGCAAAGGATGTAGGAAGCAGAAAAAGTTAAGGATTATGTTGACAGGCTAATGAGTGTGGTCAACAAAATCAGGCTAATGGGAGTAGGGTTGACAGATCAAAGGGTGGTGGAAAAGGTTTTGGTGAGTTTGCCAAAGAGATTTGAGTCCAAAATCTCTTCCCTTGAGGACTCTAAAGACATGACTCAAATCACATTGACTGAGCTTGTCCATGCTCTCCAAGCTCAAGAGCAAAAAAGGCTCTTGAGGCAAGAAGACACTAGTGAGGGTGCATTGGTTGCAAGCTATAAAGGCACACCTGCACAAGGACAAACTAGGAAGTATGCTGGAGATAGAAAGGGGAAAGAGAAGAGTAATAACCAGTGAGAAAAGCCTAGTAGAGTGAAAGAATTTCCAGCTTGCACTCACTGTAAAAGGAAAGGACATCCGGAGAGGAGATGCTGGTTTAGACCAGGCATAGAATGCAGAAGCTACAAGCAATTTGGGCATATTGAGAGGGTTTGTAAGAACAAAGGAAGCCAACCAACACAACAAGCAAAGGTTGGAGAAGATCGGCAACAATGTCAGGAGGCTGAGCAACTTTTTGTGGCCACTTGTTACACGGCACAAACTAGCAATGAAGCTTGGTTAGTTGACAGTGGCTGCACCAACCATATGGCTACAAACCTACAAAATTTCATTAACCTAGATAGCTTATATTGTTCCAGAGTTAAGATAGGAAATGGTGAGTTCATGGAGGTCAAAGGCATGGGGGATGTTGCTATCCAAAACTGGTCAGGTACAAAGATAATTTCTCATGTGTTATATGTGCCTAGGATTAGTCAAAATTTATTGAGTGTTGGACAAATGTTAGAGAAGGGCTATTCCTTACATTTTCAAAACCAAGCATGCACTATATTAGATCCTAAAGGAGCTGAATTGATGTGTGTAAAAATGCTGGGGAAAACCTTCCCGGTTGAGTGGAAAAACACCAATAATTTAGCTCTATCAACTAGGCTAGAAGAGTCAGAAACTTGGCACAAAAGACTTGGTCATTATCACNTTTACAATAGGTAGACCAAAAATGTATATTATCACAGGCTTACACTTTTCCATCAGCAGAAAAACTCATAAAGTGGTGTTGCAATCTATAGAAAAGTTACAAATACATAAAATAAAACTCTCCAAAATCCGAAGTAGAGCATAATGAGTTTCTTAAATGATTCATTATACTAAATAACTAAATAAGTAACAGAAGCAATACCAATTAATCTAAAACCACATTCCAAAGTAGTAAAAGAACTCACAGTAGGTGATGGGGTGCCAGCTTTAAGATATACAATGTTAACCGAAATGACCTCCCCTTCACCCTTCAACCCAGCCTTCACCAAATCAAACTGTGAAGCTCTAAACCTCCTCACACTCTCAATGCTCTTATACAAATTCTCCATCGCACTGTTATCATACAGCTTTGCGCCATGGCCTGGAGCCCCCTTAGCCTTAATAGCCAGCCACCAAGCACCCTTCTCTGCATAAAATGCCCTGTAATTTTCATTGGGAGACGGCAGACCTGAATTCCAAAGTAACAATAACTTTTAAGAAATTACTCATACAAAAGCAAAACTTAAAAGTTTTTAAATAAGGAAAACACTGATACCAACATAAACATTCATTTTTTTTTTTTACCTTCATCAAGGACAATACCAACATTCAAGTTTTTGAAGATGTCAGACTCTGCAAACTTCTCAGCTCCATCATGACCTCCAATCTCTTCATCAGCAGCAAAAGCCAAGTAAACAGTTCGAACAGGCTGAAACCCACCTGCCTTCAACTTCCGAATCGCCTCTAAGTATTGCATCCCAACGCACTTCATGTCCTGGGACCCTCTGGCGAAGATATTTCCCTCCGAATCCAGGTGGGCCCCGAAGGGGTGGTGGGACCATTTTTCCGGCTCAGACGGAACGACGTCGGTGTGTGAGTAGAGGAGGATGGAGGGTAGGTGAGGGTTGGAGCCGGGCCATTTGAGAAGAACGATGGGTTTGTTTTTAGCGAGCTCGAAGGTCTGGGATTCTAAAGAGAGGGATTGGGCTTGTGACAGGAGGAAGGCGGTGGCTTTCTTGTAGTCAGGAGATGGTTGAGAGGTGTTGATTTGGAGATATTCTTGGAATCTTGAGATAATAGCTGATGAAGGGTCTTGAGATGAGTTTGTGAACTGTAGTAGATAAAGAAAGAAGAAGATCTGAACAAGATGATAATGAAGAATCAATTTGGTCTTCATTTTCGTTTATTTGTCTGTTTTTCTTGGTTCACTGATTCACTTCCCCTTACCTCTAAGCTCTAACAGCATTCTCATTGCTAGTTAATAATTTATGTGTAACAGTAGTTAACAACTGATGAAGGTTAGTTGAACTTGGACACTCTTGGGGATTTTGTTATGAATAAGTCCATCCTTATAAAGAAGCCTACAAAGAAGCTTACAAAGTGAAGAAAAAAATAAAGAAAAAATAGAAAAAGAGAAAGAGAGAGAGAAATGATGAAGATGAAGGATGAAGATTATCTTTGTATGCCTCCTTTGTAGGCTTCTTCGTAAGACTAACATTACCGTTTTGTTATCACGAGGAGCAACGGTTGACGATCCACTATATTGTATTTTTGCTTGCTTGTAGTTGTAGATGCTCTGGTTTCTTATAGTAACAATATCAAGAAGCTGATTTGGGTATCTATATACTGTTCCATTTCTCAATACCTCAGCCCATGTTTCTTTAATGAGTAATGCTACAGTCACTGAAAGTTGTGTATCGAATCTGTGCACCGAATGACGTGATAAAATCCTGACCATTGATTTATTATCAGTTAATATTAATCAACGGTAAGGATTTTATCACGTCATTCGGTGCACAGATTTGGTGCGCAAACTTCGGTGGCTCTATCATTTTCGTTCTTTAATTCTTACACGAGTAGGAGTAAGCTGTCAAAACGGCATGGTGCAACTTCAGTGGGTCAGGTAGTTTTTCTGGTAAAGCCTTTTTTTTTTTTTTTTTTTTAAGTCACCAGGGGTGTCCGAACCAATTTGTATGCACCTCAATTAATTTTCGGGTCGTTCTCTAATCCCCGGGGCCCTGAAATTGTCAGTCGGATAAGAGTCATTGTGCCAGTCAAATAAAAGTTTTAGTGGCTACCCCTATAAGTGTCTAGAAGACTTGAACTCAGGAACTCATAAAATATTCTTTTGCTCTTTTACTATCAGACTACTTAAAAGTGGTTGTTTCTTGGTAAAGTTAGGATATAATATATTATATTTCTCTGATGTCTTTGGTAGTTGGCTTTTTACTTAACAAAATTTATTTTGGAGGATAAGAATTCACTTACTGATGAATGCCTCCCATTTAACCAATGTTTTAAAATTCGACCCAACCCGATCGGTTCAACTGGGACTTAGGGCTTTCACCAAGCCAAATTACCCGTTTTACTATTCACCAAAAACCTTAGAAATTAGGATGATGATCAGCGAACAATCGAAGACCAGAATGTTGGGGCTTTTGAAGAGAAAGTGTCGATGAGTACAATGGTGGCGACGAAGTTGATTTCCAATGAGTGAATCAACCGGAAATAAAAAATAAATAGGCAACAACAACAGCTGACTTTCGCCAGTGATTGACGAGGCTAATGGGGGTGGGGTGAGGTGAGTTTTATTCAGGAGGCTGAGGGGAGTATTTTCGTGGTGATGGGGGGGTTTTCGATGTTGATGGTGGTGAGATCTAGCCTGGAATGTTGATGCCGACGTCGGTGAGATTTGGCTAAAATTGATAGATATTGGATAGATTTTATGGGAAATGGGCTCAAATGATGATTGGAATTGTATTTGGTGTGTTGCCACTAGACCTAGCAAAACGGGCGGGTGGGCCGGGTACAATCGAGTCTAACGGGTACGGGTCGATTTAAACGGGCCCAATATTTTGGACCTGCACCCTACCCTATGCTGGTATGGGTGGACTCGCGGGTGCCCGTACTGTTCACTCCAGTTTTAGATTTTTGCAGTTACACCCCCAAATCTTCCTAAAATCTTGATTCTTGAGCAAAATTTGTCACCAACCAAACAGAAAATAGAAACCCACATTTTCTCCCAAGTTTTCTCACCAACCAAACAGAAACCCAGAACCTAACAAAGAAAAAGATAAAAGAACTTTATCGATTGTCCTTTCATTCCTCATCAACCAAATAAACCCACATAAAAAAATATGAAAAACGAAAAAATCTACAGAAGAAAAGAGAAAAGAACTTTACTAATTGTCCTTGATGCGCCAACGTGGAGAGTACAAACGTGGCTGATGAGAAATGAAGATAGGAGAAGCGACGACGATGGAGTTAAGGATTTCAGTGACGATGAGTTTGAGAGAAGGTTGATGAGAGACAGAGAGAGTAAGTTTGAGTTAGGGATTTTGCTATTTGGGGCAAAAACATGGGGATGGGGATCACTTTGAGAATGAATTGACATGGTCTTAAAATTCTCTAAATCTTTGGCTCAAGTTGTAACTGAAGGAGAAGCAACCTGAGAAGCTTCCACAAGCTTTCTTGAACGTTGGTGGCCTCGGTGAAGCGTGCATTAACAATGATAAATCTGTATTAGGTAGCGAATCAAAATCGAATTTTCATTTAATTCGATCAAAACTATGAAATAAGTTTTTGATATTTAATGGATGATCCCTCGTCTTTTGTTTCTAGCCCTCTTTGTCTTGTTCTTGTTAACTCCCTCTCGCTTCTCATCATCTTCTTCCTCAACTTTCCTACTTTATTTTTCATCAGTTCACCACCCATTTGGATTCCTCAATTTTTAATTTCAGGGTATCCCTGCAAAATGAAAAGAGAAAAGGTTTTTTTTTTTTTAAAAAAAAAAAAACAAACGGGTACCCGCGGGTGTACTCGCTTGACCCGTTGGCAAAATAGGTCGGGCCGGGTACGAGTAGAAGAAAAACAGGTCCAATATTAAAGACCCACACCCTATATTTTTTACCCGGGCTTAGGGTTGACCCACGGGTCCAGACCCGTTTTGCCAAGTCTAGTTGCCGCTGCCAACCAGTCTATCGCCAATTTGTATTTAGAGTATATTTGCTAAATTTCAAACCTAGAGGAACTTAACGGTAATTTCTAAGGGATATTTGTTAAATTTTAATTTTTTTTCACCCAATTTGACCGGCCGGTTAAACCAGTCAACCTGGGATCTAGCAACTTTGCCGGGTTGGTGCCGTAGGGGATGCTGATGAATGATTATTTTGAAGCTAAACAGCTATCTTATATTCGTCTCATGGTTGTGTTAGAATCTCCTAATAGTTTCTTCTTTTGACATTTATCTATGTACATACTGCTACTCACTCAGCATCGAACAGGAGTGTAAAAAAAGAGAACCATGTTTAGCAGATCGCAAAGCGCTTCTGCATTAATCAGATAGTCATGTGGATTCAAGCAAATTTTGAAGCTTAAAGCAAGAAACAAAAGATCATTAAGAATGATTTCTTAGTGATCATTCATAATAAGAAGGGTGACGAGGTTGATGGACATGATCACTGCTCATACCAGTTTGAATCTAGGTAGGGCTATGAGCCACCATAGAAGTTGACAGTGTGGCCAATAAATCACATGTACTAAAGAAATGATAAATAATATGTAATTGTTTCCTGATGCTACCATTTTTCAGTCATCAGATAGATGGATATTAAATGCAGTTGAATACTATATGCAATTTAGAATGAGAAATGATACAACAAATACTAGGATGCTGTCGCAAAAGCAAAAATCCTTTACCATAACATTCAGCAAACAACACATTTAACCAGTCGTCGTACCAGATTGCTTCCTTATTTATTGATACATCAGAGAGACATCTATTAACCTCAACTCCCATATGTTACAATGAGGCCGAAACAGAGATCATGATGACTTGAGAGAATTAGTCTCAATTAGAAATGCACCGTGCTGGTTGCTTACAACTCATCTCTTGAGATTTCTTCCTTTGTGTGCTGAACATAAGATGCATAAGCTTTAATTATAGACTCGTAAATGTCAATCCCTTTCAGGTATTCAGCTTGGTTTAGAAACTGCAACAAGGTGAAAATAAGGCCGTCAGATCACAAGCATTTAGCATGCATATTGGATTTATCAGACATTGCAACAAGATGACATGAATTATGATGGTTAGATCCAATGCACGTTGACTGCAAAAAAGATTTATCACACAGAAAAAAATAGGTTTGTTGGATATGTCAAGCTTAGCAAGGTAACGCTAGTTAGGAAGAAAAGAAAAGAGAGATAGAATCTGGAAACAACAGAGCAAAAGATGGCCCAGGGTGAAACATGACAATCAAGCCAGGAAGCTAACAGTAAAATTCATGTTCGACGTTAGTAAAGTATTGCTTGAAGTTAGTCTTGCCAATATTATGGCAGCAAGAGAAATGCTATTAGTTATCCACCAGGAATATACCAGTGTCGAACAAATCTCAAGCACGGGATCCCAATTCCAAACAAGGTTTTTCATTTTTATGAGTAAAATCCATAGAAAGACACATCGAAACTATACAATCAACAGAAAGTCAAAACAATGGATAAGCCATTCACCTCATTATGGTCATGAAGCAGAATCGGAGTGTTTGCCATAGGAGAGAAGCCAATTGCTGGCAGGCCTCGTTCCCGGAAGTAGCGAGCATCTGTGGAGGCAGGAAAGATCTCTGGCTTACCTAGTTTTCCATTAGCATTTTTAACTGCTTCCTCCAAAAGGCTCCACCATGGGTTTGAAATATCAGTCGCAGTTATAATTGGTTTCCCAAACTTGTCATGTACAGAAGTTTTTTGCTTGAACTGTCCAAGCTAAAAACAAGTTAAAGAAAGTGGCAAGGAAGAAGAAACAAAATATAAGAAAAACCTTCATTCAGTGATCAATGGCAAGTGCACACACATTTTTTTTTAACATTATAGTAAATATTCAAAGAAAAGCAGCATCTGTAGTCTTCTACAGTCATTTGTTAAAAAAATCTCTTTCAGATCACAGTCAGCATAACAAAGTAAACCAATCCTTTTGTACTGTGAAATGATCTGAATAGGTAAGAATCTTAAGATTATAACCTCAAACGTCATATTGCGTGAAGCAGGCGCCCATTCTCAGCATCGTCTCTCCAAAGCTTCCGTGTTTGCTTTAGGGGGGACCGAATATCAAAACCTGCTTCTGCTCAGATGGCTGCAAATTCATGACAAACCCTGGTAGACAGAGAGAAGTAGGGAATATTTCAATAGCTTACAGCATAGCGTATATCATTGTAACATTTGGTGTAGAGATTCTGGAGGGGAAAAGGTGCTATCATAGATCATTAAAATATTATGCAAAATATCCTCTCATTTCTTTTTCACTTTCTATGTTTGACAACAATTAGGCATTTGTTGAAAGA